TACCTTGATATTTAAAATTTCTCAGGTGACCTGACTGAACTCTATTTAACTTGGGCTTAAAAGAAGGCTTTTACATTTCTGACTGAAGTAATTTATGATTTTACAGTACACAGACTTAGTGATAAAAAGTAGTAATGCCTTTTTTTTAAATCCTTACCTAAGGGTATTTTTTTCTATTTATCTTCAGATAGAGTGAGAGAGAGGAAGAGCAAGAGAGGGAGAGAGGGAGGGGGAGAGAGAGAGAGAGAAACATCGATGTGAGAGACACATGGTGGACTGGTTGCCTTCCACAACCCTGACCAGAGCAGAGGATGAACTGCAGCTGAGGTACATGCCCTTGCCCAGAATTGAACCTGCACCTCGTTGGTCTGCGGGCTGACGCTCTAACTGCTGAGCCAAACCAGCCACAGCCCCCCCCTTTTTTTTTCTAAAAGAAAAATACCCAGTGGGTGTGCTTTTAGTTTCAAATGCAGTTGTTTGTAAAATGTTATTATCCTATTTTAAAGTATTTTTGAAATATCCAGGATTAATCTTCCTATATTGAGATGATTCATTTCTCAGTGATGCTAAAAAATGTTTACTTGATTTTACTTTGATAAATTACCAGATCATTACAATTTCCTGAAGAAGGCATTAAATTAATCTAAAAATAAGAGAATCAAAGTAAATTATTGCTTGCAAAGTAGGTATTGTCTGAACATCTTTTCTGATTTGTGAGTTACAAACTTAAAATAATCAAGTTTGTAAACTATAGGGACAAAAATTAAAACAGATCAGTGAATGTCAGGGGTGAAGGATAAGGGAGGGTTTGACTACTAAGGGGCAGCACAGTGGAGTTTGTTAGAGTGATGGAACGATTCCGTATCCTGAGGGTGATGATATATGGTCCTTCAAACTCACAGAACTGGAAAAAGAAAAACTATGAGTATATATCTATCTTCATTATATCATATAGTGGTTACATAGGTATATACATTTGTTAAAACAGATCAAACACTTAAAATGGGTGAATTTAATTATATGTAAATTATAGCACAATAAAATTGATTTTTTTTTTTTAAGTTAAAAAGTCATCTGGGCTGTGCCCTGGATCCTGGAGGCCAGCAGAGGGGACAGTTCCAGAAGCCCCTGGGCTCCCCACAGGGCACAATGATAAAAACATGAAGGATGTATTAAGTCTGTATCTACATAAGAAGAACGTCTTGGTGAGGGAAAGGATTGAGATTTCCCTCCTTGGACTGGATCTTGCTCCGCGTTTATCACTGTTCTCATCTGTACAATGGGAATAGTGATTTCCTGTCCTACCTCCCAGATTTGTAGTAAAGATTAGATTGACAAATTCTTTAAAAAGGACAAAGCACTTTTCAAATTAGAAGAAGCCTTATGTTTCAGAGTGAAGGACTCTATTTACTTGCTTCTGGTTGATTTTACTACCAGGCGGCGTTTGAGAAATAGAGAAGGATGAGTGATGAGTCTGGGCCCAGCCAGTCCCCTCCTCTCACTGCTGGCTTCTGTCAAATGCAGGGTACTCCATACGCCTCATTATCCTTTCAGTGAGCGTCCTCTGGGCCTAACTCTGTGCCAGGTGATATGCTACGTGGGACACATAGATAATTTGGAGTCATTCCCGACTCTTTTTTTTTTTTTTTTGCATTCATCTTTAGCTAGAGTGGGAGGGAGAGAGGGAATAAGAGAGAAACATCAATGTGAGAGACATTGACTGGCTGCCACCCACATGACCCCACTGGGGCCAGGGACAAACTGCAACCGAGGTATGTGCCCTTAGCAGGAACTGAACCCCGGTCTTTCTGGACTGCAGGCCAACACTCTAACCACTGAGCCAAACTGGCCAGGGCTCATTCCCTACTCTTAAGGAGCACAGGTCACTGTGATGCGAGCACAGTGCGAGAACTGCCTAAGCGAAAGTTCAGGCACTGTGCTGGGGAACGAGTGGAGCAGTTCATTCCAGCTTGGGCTTTATAAGAGACGTGTCTCAAGGAGGTGACTTGTGAGGTGGTGGTATGCAGGGGCCTGGTAAATAAGCCACCTCCTCGCCAGGATGAGTCCCTTATTCTGTCCAGCACCATCACATAATTATTGAGCAATTATTTGGTGCCAGGCACTGTACAAAAGTGAACCAAAAATGGATTTTCATAGAGCCTATGGTCTTTAGTCTTTTGTTTGTTAAACATCTAATGGGTCATTTTTACATGTCAGACTCTGCCAGGAGTGAAATGCAGGTGTGAATAGGAGTCACTGCTTTGGAGTTGCTCCTCGTCTCTTGGGAGAGTTCAGCTGTAAATGGACCGTTACCTAATTGAGATTGAGGATGTGATTGAGGTAACCTGGGCTCTGGGGAGCATAGAGGAGCACCTGTTCCATCCTTGGTCTGGGAAGACACCCTAAAGGAGGTGATGTGTGAGCTGAGCCCGAGTTACTAGTAGAAATGAGCTAGGTGTAGGAGGAGAAAATGGAGGTGGAAGGGCATTGTAAGTGGAAGAAAAGCATATGTGTGTAGTGGCACAGAGAGGCAGTAGAGCATGTTTGGACCACTGTTCAGTGTGGTTGGAAAGGAAAGCTGTGTAGAGAATGGTGTAATTTACCAAGGAGAGGAGCAGGAAGAGGCTTTGATAATTCAGCTACCAGGTTCCCTCGGGGGGCAGACTCATGGGTGTGTGGGGCCTCCAGAGCTAATGCTGTTTGGAACAAGCTTCTCTGCTTCCCATACCAGGCCCCTCCCCAGATTTCAGCTGGGCTCCATATTCAGCACTCCATGGCAAGCTCCATTAGCTGCCTACAGACAGGCCGCCAGCTTCCCCACTGCCCTCTCGCCACCAAGCTCACACAGCCCCTCTAATTAGTTATTGATCTGGTACTTTGTTGTGGCTATGCTTCCCGCGCCTCCATTTAGTCGATTCTCAAGTTAATGAAACCAAATTCTGTAAACCCCCCCCTTCTGCTTCCACCTGCCCCGCCCCAATAGAACTTTTGTCCCTGCTACCGCTCCAACAAAATGGCTCTAAAGAAAGACCACTGAAATGAGAGGTAGTGGAGAGCAGGTGGAAGGGGTGTTGTTCAAGGAATCAGCTGCAGAGCATGCCTGTTACCGTTGTCAGGTCAAGGCCCTGGAGCCCAGAGTCCTTCCATGGTGGTCTGTGGGCCAGCTGCTGCACAAGGGTAATGGGGATCAGAGATCTTCCCCCCTCATGCTCCTGTCTGTGGGGTAGTCCTTCAGGGAGCCAATGGGTAGTCTGGGAAAAGTAGCTTCTTCCTTTCTGCGTGGCTTTGATCCAGTCATGTAATTTCTCTCAGCCTCCATTTCTGAAAACTAGGCATTCGAGTGTATCTTCCCAGGGCATTTTGAGGATCCACTGGGATACTCTTTGAAACTTCTTTGAAAAGAGTAAAATAGTATGAGGAGTAATGGGTTTGCTGTTATTCTTAGAAGGGGTTGGGCTCTAGAGCAACCTGGAATGGAGTTGCAAATGTAGAGAAAATTACTATTCTGCCCCCTGCCCATGTTTATATTAGATAAAACTGAATTTAAAAGAACATCAAAACAGGGACTTACTATCCAGAATATATAAAGAATTCTGATAACTCAACAATAACAACAACAAAAAAGTAACCTGATTAGAAATGGGCAAAGGGCTGGAATATACATTTCTCCAAAGAATATATACAAATGGCCAAATAAATACATGAAAAGATGTTCAGCATCACTAATCATTAGAGAAATGCAAATCAAAACCACAATGAGACCACTTCACCACAATTGTGATGGCTACTATCCAAGAAAAAGCAGAAAATAAAAGATGTTGGCAAGGTTGCGGAGATATTGCAACCCTTGTTCATTGCTGATGGGAATGTAAAATGGCACAGCCACTGTGGAAGACAATACAATGATCCTCAAAACATTGAACAGAATTTTCTTATGATCCAGAAACTCCACGTCTGGGTATACACCCCCAAAATTTGAAAGCAGGGACTCTAAGAGATATTTTTATACCCATGTTCATAGCATTATTTACAATAGCCAAAAGGCCATTTACAACCCAAATGGCCATTGACAGATGAATGGGAAACAAAATGTGGTGTAGACATCCAACAGAATATCATTCAGCCTCAAGAAGGAGATTCTGACACAGGCTACAACACGCACAACCTTGAGGACATTATGCTATGTGAAATAAGCCAGCCATGAGAGGCTAAGTACTGTATGGTTCCACTTCTGTGAGGTACCTAGAAGATTCAGATTCTGAGACAGGAAGTAGAGTGGTGGCTGCCAGGGGCTGGGAGAGGGGAATAGGGAATTGTTAATGGGTACAGTTTCATTTAGGAAAGATGGAAAAAGTTCAAGGGATGGGTGATGGTGATGGTTGTATAACTGCGTGAATGTACTTAATGCCACTGTACTGCACACTGAAAAATGGTTAAAATTGTAAATGTTTTGTTATGTATATTTAACAGTTTTTTAAATGATAATGTAAAAATGGTAGATTTATATTTTATGTTATTACAATTTTAGAAAAAGAACATCAAAGACAGCTTTTAAGGGGAATAGAGGCAGCCTGTGGCACATTTATTTTAGAGGAGCAATTTAGCCTTGTTGGTTTAGGGACTGTCACTTTATGGGATCCAGGGGCTTATAAGCCCCCCAAAACCTTTTAGTACCAGCTGGTTGTACCTACTACCTCTTCCTCTGGGTTACTACCCAGCTGCCCAGTGGATCTCCCCAGGGGCAGGGCCAGAGTGATGGCCTTACCCTCAGTGGGGCTTCTCTGCCCAAGATAGTAATTTTCCATTCTGGTCCTGCCTCAGCCTCTCAGCTGGGTTTGGACCTTCCTTCTTGGTTTGGGGGAGCACAGCAGGTGCCCTGGGCCTGTGCCGCCAGCAGCTGATCTCCCCGCCCCAGAGAGCTGAGCACTGTGAGGAAATTTCCACAGCTTTCTCGGCTCTCTGTGTGTTCTCAGGAGTGACTTATCCTCTGTTCTCTGTAGGTTTTCTTTTCCTCTGCCTGCAGCATTGCTGTAAATGCCACCCTGAGGCAGAAAGCTGCAAAGTTCCAAGCTCACTTGACCAAGAAGTTTCGGTGGGACTTTGCAGCGGAGCCTGAGGATTGTGCCCCGGTGGTGGTGGAGCTCCCCGACGGCGTGGAGACTGGCTAACTGGAGGTGCCCTCAGCCAGGGAAGACTCCTCCCCACACAGCTGCAGTCCTGCCCTCTCCACTGACCCTTCCACACACCAGGTTCTGCAGAGATGGAGCCAGAATTTCTTCTTTTACCAATAAATATGTTCCCTCAGTGCCCAAGAGGCTGTACCGTCCTAAAGGCACATTTGTGGGCTCCCCATCAGCCTGGCCGTGGTGCCGACCTGACTGAGTTCCAGATGGGCTCTTCAGAAGCTCTTGGAAGAGACCTGCCTCAGCAGCAACCTACCTCCTTCCGAATGAGAACAAATCAAGCCAAAAGCCCAAGAGAACTGATCACTTATTCCACAGGATGTTAGAAAATCAGAAACCCTGGACTGCCATGGGCTCTGAGATGTCAGTTGGTGACTTTTAACTTAAGCAGAGGGCAGTAGGTAGATGAGCCAGGATTTCTACCTGCCTCTTGTTGAATGGGAATGCATCACAGAAAACATGGGCGTGTGACCGCTCAGGAGCCCCAGACGGGAGGGCGTAGCACAGAAGACAGCTGGGCTGTATCAGCTTTTGCTTTTGCATCTAAGTTTCTTTCTCCAGTCCAGAGGTCCCAGTGGGTAAGCTTCCCAAGATTGTTGTGGCCCCTGACCTCAGGAGCCTTGCTCGTTCCATACCTCTCCCATGTGTTCTATTCTGAGACCTCAGACCCAGAAGTGGGACTTGGCAACCCTCCTGTATGGCCCCATTTTTCACCAGAGCCACCACAACTGTTTCTGATGACCTGGAGATTCAATAAGAGAAAGATTCTTGGCTCTGTTGGAGTTCTGTGCCTTTATTCAGAACTCGAGATGACTGGTCAGCCTGGATCTTTTCAGTCCTACCGCGGAGTTCTCAGCCACAAGAGTGATGATGCTCGGGTTTCCTGGGAGTCCCGAGGGCATGCCCATCATGCACCCAGGCCCCCATCCAACTGCAAGCTGTTGTACTATGATCAGAGTCCCTGTGCTGTTCTTTTCCAAGGCTGCAGCTCACACCAGGCCTCTTAAATGAGAATTCCTGCTGGTTAAGACTTTTGGTTCCACTTGTTTCCTTGGAGATGTTTTTCCAAGAATGTAATGTACATTAAAGTCTTTGAATTGAAACTAAATCCTCATATGTGAGTCTCTTTTGCAGTTAATCTGCCCAGATCCCAGAGCAGGCAGGCCACTGTCCATAGACACACACCTCCTCCCTACTAGGCACCAGGATGCACTCGCCCAACCTCTGCGGTCTTGGAGGAGGCAAGCAGCCAGCATTGCCTCCTGTTACCAATAGGGCTTCTGAGAACAGGCACACCTGGCAGGATTGAGGGGCCCTGCATCTTATAAGAAGTTTCACCTTGTGTGAATTTGCTATTCTTTTCCTCCCCAAAGCCCACTCATCAGAACTACCTGGCAAGCTTGTTAAAAGTGTAGATTCTGAAAGAATGAAGTCCTGATCTAGGCCACACCATGGATGAACTTTGGAAATACTGTGCTGAGAGAAGCCAGACGTAAAAGGACACATGCTATATGATGCCATTCATTTGAATTGTCCAGAGTGCACAGATCCATACAGACAGATTAGTGGTTGTCAGGAAAGGGAGGGAGAATGGGAGTGATGCAAATGAGTACGGGGTTTCTTTTTGGGGTGATGAAAGATTGTAGAATTAGGGGTGATGGTTGCACAGCCTTATGAATATAGTTAAAATCTCTGAAAATGTACACTTTAAAGTGATGAATTTAATGGTGTGTACATTACATTTCATTAACAATTTTTAAAAGTGCAGATTCACAAGTCCAACCCTGCAGGGATTGAGAGGCAGTGAATGTGGATATGGCCTGGGTTCTGAGGTACCCTCAGTTTTGAGTAACTACCTAGAAGTGACAGCATTACAATTGAGTACCCAGAGCTCCTTTGGGACAGAATTTGTCTCCCACTGGCATGGTCAGGGCAGCACCTAGAAGTTGGGTCATGTGACTTTGTTCTCCAAGCTTATTGATCTTAGGTCTACACAGACCACCCCCACCGGCACCACACACAAGCAGGGGTGAAGAAACAGTCGCTACTATTTACTAAGTGTTCTGTTCTCATACTTCACTTAATCTCACCACAATGTGTGCTAAGTACTGTTACTGTCCTGCTGATATGAAAATGGGCTCAGAGCTTCTGCCATTTTGCCAGGGTCCCACAACAGGCAAAAACTGAGGACAAGAGTCAAGCCCAGGCTATTGGTGTCCACAGCCCATGCTCAGCCACCACCTGCACCGCTGTGACTTACTCCCCAGTCCAGTCCCTGCTTCCCCAGATCTAGCCTTGGCCCTGTCGACAGCCGGCTGTGTGACCTGTGGCAAGCCATGTACCTTCCCTGGGCCTTAGTCTGTTTCTGTATAAAATTAGAGAGTTTGCCTGGGTTTGGGGTTTCTGGCATAGATTCTCCAGGCTCCCTCGGGTATTTAAAAGTGGACCCTTGTGTTATTTTAAGTGTTTTCAGAAGGGAAACTACGTCTACATGGGATAATATGGCTGGGCTGTCAAAAAGGTCTCTTGATTGGGGCTGGAGTGACGTCCACCCTGTGTCTTCTGCTCGTCCCAGCTGGCGGTCTGCTCCATGTCTTTGATGAATAAAAAATGTGAAAACAAATGAATTATTGCTTAATACTTACAGTGTGTTCGGAAGGCAGAAACCTTCCAAAGAGAACCAGTGGCACCGCTGATCTCCAAGCTCTCTCGCAGGTCTAACATCTGAGAGCGAAGCTATTGGCAGGACCTGGCCTGATTTTTAAATCCCCTCAAATGCAGGCCTCCTGGGGCCTGGCTCTTATTTGCAAGGCTGCTTTATCCTATTAACAGAATCAGCAGAGGTAGTGACTTTCCAAGCCCTTCCACTGTCCCCGTGACAAGCCCTCGCTGCTCAGAGCCCCGTTCTGGCTAATTTCTCACCACTTGAGCAGTGGAGGAGATCCCCGCTGCTGATTGCCTCTTGCCATCGGTAATTATTTTCCCAACGTCATCCCCTTGCAAATATTATTTAATATTCCCAGGGTGTTGTGACATATTGGTCTCTTCAACTAATCAGAGTTTGGCTTGACTGAGGTGCCATCCCCCACTGAGATGGGGGCAGGGTGTATGCTATGGGCAAGGCCATCACCCAGTCATGTCTGCCAGATTTAAAGCAGCGGAGCCAGGAAGCTCACCTGAACCACCTGTGAATCCTGGGGGCAATATGGTCCCCTCTTCTCTTCAGTCCCCTGCTGACCACGGCCCTGCCTCACCTCAGTTTATCACATCTGGCCCAAGCAGGCTTTGTTTTCATTAAAACCCTTCTAGACCTTTCTATGTCCAGCATATCTGAGGGCTCATTCTCTCTCCAGCCCTCGGCTCCTGCTGTGGTCTGGCCTCCCTGCTGAGATGGTGGGGTGAGAGCAGAAATGTCAGCTGGTCCCTGCTGTAGTGGGGAGGGGAGTGTCCAGTGCCCCCCCCCCCACCTGCCAAGCCTCTGTCCTGTGTCCAGAGCCGGTGCTCTCCTCCAGTGAGGGTTCCTGAGGGTCCTCGGGCTGCCAGTTAAAATGCTTGGTGGGGCGAAGGAGGAGGAGAACGGGCTCCTCAATGGAGCCGGCTGGCAATGTCAGACTGGCCTGCTTGAAAGACTCCTCAGCTCTCTTTCCTGGGTCTTTTGTCTGTTTTCTTCCCTCCCCACATTGCCCAGATTTAAAGCAGCGTCTGAACATGTCTCCGTCTGAACATTTTTACCTGCTTCAAGTCTGGGCTCTACACTTCTAGGGGGATGCTGACAGATGGAGTTACATCTTGAGGAGAGGGAGCTGTCACGTGAGAAGCAGTGGGCGCAAAATGCAGGACCTTCACCAAAGAGCAGAGAGGCTGAGAGCGGGAGCAGAGGGAAGAGGTCCCTGCACCCCTCAGTGCATAGCGGGGCTCTCGGATAAGTTACAGGGAGGCAGAGGTCAGCTCCATTTCTTCGTCACCCAACAATACTGAGTACCTGCCAAAGAGCTTACATTCTGGGGGACGGGGCAGACAATAGCATACTAAGTAGATTATAGAGTGTGTTAGTTGTAAGAAATGCTGGGGGGAGGGGGGGATGGAGCAGGATAAGGGAAATTTAGAGTCCTGGCAGGGTGAGGGGAAATGTTGCAATTTAAATAGGGCGGCATTTGAGCAAAGAGGAAAGAAGTGAGCAAGTGAGCCGTGTGGGTATCTGGGGGAACAACGTTCCAGGCAGAGTGAACAGTAGCTGCAAAGGCCCTGGACCAGGAGCAAATCAGGTTACAAGAGGGATCAGATTATCCAGGGTTTAGGGACTGTTATAAGAACATTGCATTTTACTCAGTGAAATGGGGACCCTTGAGAGGGTTTGAAGCAGAAAAGTGACTTGTTTTAACAGGCTCACAAGCTGCTGTGGTGGATGTAGACTGCACGGGGATGGGTGGAAGCAAGGGCCCCAATAAGGAGACTAGCGCAGTAGTCCCGGTGAGAGGCGACAGTGATCAGAGCGGTATCGGGAGTGCACAGGGCTGTATTCATGATTCACGGAGGGATGGACTGGATGTCTTTCAAGGGCCCTCTAGCCTGATAACCCCTACTTCTCTGAAGTCTCAGAATCTGAACAGAATACTGACTCCTGCAGGTACCCCCGCCTCAGGAGTCCCCTCTCTGCTGTCCATCGTGGGATCTGTCAGCCCTTGGGCAGGTGGGGCAATAATGAAGGATTGGGAGGGCTGTCATAAGAATCTGGGGTATGGGGACTCAAGAGGGCTCTGTTGCCAAGGAGTGGGTGATGCAGAGGGCCATGATACCTGTAGTCGAACCATCAGCACCTGTGTGGGTGGTCTTGCTGCCACTGGCAATGAGGAAGGTCCCACTTGAAGTCCAGGTGTTCTCGTGACTCACAGAGAGCTGAGGATATGTGAAGCCTCTGTTTCTAATTTGTGCTGGTCCAGAATCATTCATGCACCCACTTCCCCCACAGAACTGTCATGGACTTGGAGGTGTTACTCTGAGCTAGCATGGAGCGCTACTCTCCCCTCGCCACTGGGCATTTGTGACCCTTCTGTCCATCGCTCAGGAGGGGCACAGGGTCTTCCGGAAAGGTCTTAGCACTCTTCGTCGTACAGATGAGGAAATCGAGGCTCAGAGAGGTGCGGCACAGGCCAGCGGGTCTCAGAGCCAGAATTGCAGTCCACCTGTCCGAGTCCAGCACTGCCCTGCCGCCACGCAGCACTCCTTAATAAGGACAGTTACATAATCTGTGATAATTACGAGTGGGTCTGAGGCTGCCAGCTGACAACTGGCAATGTCAGCCACTTACAAGGGTGCTGGGCACGCCCCACTGGCCTCTTGGTTTGTGACAGCTTGCTAATGTTTCTTCCCAGACTCTTGGTGTTCGTATCTGGCTTGTGGGCACAAGACTAACCAGGCTCAGGTGAGCTGGCATCTGGATGTGGGAGGAGGGGGACAGCCATCTGGTCCAGAACCAGGCTGCTTCTGCCAGTCTGGGGTACACCTGAGTAGAGTCCTCTCCCACCCCGTCCTACCAGAATTGCTGTTGAGTTTGCAAAGGCATTTGCTTTAGTGAAAGCCGCTGCCAGATGTGGGGCCTCTGAGGGGCTGATTGAATGCCTGCCCATCTCTGCCTCAGCTGCCCCTGGCGGTCGGTAAGCTGTTCTACCCGAAGTCTAGCAACCTGAAGGTACAGAAAGGGATGTGGGGGGTTGGGGTCTCTGTGCTAACTACTTTTAATTAATTAATTTTTGTTAATCCTTACCCAAGGTTATTTTTTCCATTGATTTTTAGAGTGAGGGGGTAGGGGAGAGACAGAGAAACATCGATGTGAGAGAGACACATCGACTGGTTGCCTCTTGAATGTGCCCCAACAGGGCCATGGATGGACCCATGACCCTGCTGAGCCACACCGGCCAGCAGTGCATTTAAATGAAGAAGGCTACGCCATTCATTGTTCATTTGTCTTTTGGAAATTGTCCATTTATGTCCTTTACTCATTTTTCTGTTGGATCTTTATGTTGTTTTTTTTTAAATATGCATTTATCTT